CAGAAACACACATATTAATTTTTTTTAAAAACTTAGAAACGGTTTCTTTCCGATGATGTATTATAATTTCATTTTAGTTAATTGGGCTATTTAATTTTTTTTATCGAGCTGTCTTCACCACATGTGGTCGAACATATCCTTTTGTAGGCGCCCTCAGTACTCCCTTTCATGCTTGTCTTGCATGTTTGTTTTAGCGAATAAACGAATTAAAAATCTTATAAGAAGGGAATGTCATTACTGTATTTTTATCTAAGAAGGGAATGTCATTACTGTATTTTTATCTATATCTATATTCATTTGAAATATTCCACCACTGCAGAAAAATATTGTTAAAGTATTTAAATTAGAGAATTTATTCAAAAGTATGGTATATAAATTTTTATTTTATAATTAACTTTAATTTTCAATTTGTTTTTGTGAGGAACTTTTAATGGGACGCTGTTGTAATTTAAATGTTAATTTATGTATTTCATTTTTATAATAAATTCATTAAATTGAATGTTTTTACTTTATTAAAAGATTTTTTTTATTTTTATTTAAATTTTTCAACAGATTCTAATTACAATTTTCTGCACTAAAAACTTTTTACGGAGTAAATTTACAATTTTTTACCAATCATGTCATTACATCCGAAACTTTTTCAACAGCATAATATCCATTTAAAATAAAAAATAAATATATTTCTTTTGTTTTGCATTCAATAGTTATTTTTAATTATACACATTTTATGAGTTCCAGATAAAAAATTCTCATCAATTCCAAAAATACGAATGTTCGGTTAATGCTAATAAAAAATTTTATCTGCACTAAAAAGTTTCGATTTTACATCTATTAAATGTACTAAATTATATATAATAACCAAAACTTTTATATCTAAAAGTTTTCAAATTATTGAAATAATCAAAGTTGCAGTTAATAATGCAGTTCATTTGATACTTTTCCATCAGCTGATATACGTAATTTTAAATATTAAATACTTTAGTTAAAAATATTGAATTTTTCAAAAAAGTTTTATTTCTAGTAAATTTTTAAAATTATTAATATTTATGGAGTAATCCAGATATAGTTGTATTTTGCGGATGCTATAGAGATGAGCTTACTTGTCAGTAAAACTTTGGCTAATTTTCGAAACTAAAAACAATGATGCCAATCAAGTGGAGCAGCATTTACCACCATACCACCACCTGTCTATAGTAGTAGCAATCTAAACAATCGCGTTATATTGGAAGCTTACTATGATTTGTGATCACTAGCACAAGGAATTTGTCAATGTAACCGTGACTAAGAGATTCAAAGAAAACCAGAAAAACGCCTATCAAAGTCATGGTACTACTGTATAGAAAAAAAGTTGTTAGAAAAAGTTGATGCTAACCTCGGATCAAGATTTAAACGCTTTCTTGAAGTGAACTAAGCCCGCCTTGATGTATGTAGCATTACAAAGAAAGTCACTTTGTAATCTCTACTATTATAAGAACTAATATCGATTTTTAACTAAAAATAATTCATCAATTCGATAGGCATAAACACAGGCTGCTCTTGAAATAAAACTTAAAGACAATATAGTGGCCATATAAAAAACAATTAAGTGACGTAAAGCTGGATATGTAGCTTTAAAGCAGATTTTTCTGCTCTTTTCTTTCAAGATTGACATCTCTAACATTTGGTCTGGTCCAAAGATCGTGATTTGATATTCTGTTTGGCCAGAAGATACGTAAAATTCTGCGGAGACAGCGGTTAACAAATACTCTCAGCTTGTATGTTTTCTGTAACAAACCAGGTTTCGCAACCATACAGGAGAACTGAAAGAACGCATGCTTTAAAGATTTTTATCTTTGTGCTTAAACTATAAGTATTGAAGCTCCACACTTTACGAAGCCTTGTAAAAGCACCAACGGCTTTCTTTATTCTGCTTATCACATCTTGCGCTGTACCTCCATTTTCAGACACTATACTCCCTAGATACTGGAATTCATTTACGCGCTCAATGGTCTCCGTTTCCAACTTCAAAGGTTCGTCAATTCGATTGTTTATTCAAACTTCTTTTGTTTTCTGTGCATTGATTTTTAGTCCGATTTGGACGACTCTAAAGACAGGTCATTAAGTTTCTGTTGCATATCATCAAGCCGATGTGACAACTCGCATTTGTCGTCAGTATAGTCCAAACACTCTAGCCTAGTGTTCGTTGACAGTGGGTTCCATACAATACCTCGTACCGTTCCTTTATTTGTTTTCTTGGCCACAGCGTCAAGCACAATTAGAAACAGAAAGAACTTAAATCAGCTTAATAATCTACATTTTATTACATGCAAATATTTCCTAGTACATCAAGTCTGTACTCAGTTAAATTTTAGATTCTTATTATTATAATGCCAAATTATCTAGATATCTGGTACTTGTTAGACTCAATTTTCGCACACCTTTTCCATAGTCTGTCTTACATTCTAAGCAAACTAATTTCTCTCTATTCCAAATATCACCAGTTCTTACTTCCTATTAGTCAACATGAATAGGCTTTATTATTATAGACTGAATGTGTTTTTTATATGCTAAACCCTATAGTGGCTAGATATCTGGTACTTGATAGATTCAATTTTCGCTCCCCTTCTCAATACACTATCTTACATTCTAAGCAAATTAATTTCTCTCTTCTTGAAATATTACCATTCCTCTTCATCAACATGAACAGCCTTCAATACTATGGACGGAATGTACTTTCCATAAGCCAAATCCTTAACAAATGTTCTGTCAAAACCTAGAAACGGACTCCAATAACAATTATGTGTAGTCATCATTATTCTTTGCGTAATCTCATTATATGTGTAGATATATGAGTATAAATTTTTTACGATAATCTTTAAAATGAATTCAGATACTCAAGTTTTAGTATAAAAACTAAATGTTCAAAATAATCCAGATTTTTTATTACTTTAGATTTATTCTCATTTTTATATTTTCTCTGATTCCTGAATAAATAGATTAAATTAAATGGTAAACAACCGGTAACTAAATATTGAAATAAACGGATATCTAAAAATCAATACCATTGCATACAAATAAAGTAAAACTAATCCTTTATCGGTATTTTGTTTACCTGTGCTTGCAAATTGTGTAATTTTTCAAGGTTCAATTACACAAATAAAGTGCACGCCCGTGTGTCGTTGCGGTGAATAGACGACTCAGAGCCAACGTTTTTTACTACTTCCGGATATTCCTTGTTTTATTTACATTGGAACGCTCAGTTTACAGTTTGTTCTGTTCCGAAACTTTTAAAATATATTTTGTAGAATACATGTTTTCACTACAACCATGGAAATTCATACACCTTTTTCATTTAAACTTGGCCTGCATTGTTCCCTCAAAAATAAACAAAAAATTGAACATATTTAAAAATGGAATTTAATTTAAACTTTTTATTTCTACGACATACTTTTACATACGACATACCTAAAAACAAAAATAAAATTTAATGTTTTACAGAAAAATGTAAACTAATTATTAAACTAATAATTTACAACATTTAAATTATAATATAATTTTTTTAATAATTACAGAATGAGATACACTTTTTACCCGCTAAATACTTTTGTCCTGAAACCTAAACTTATGTTACTTGCTTTAAGATAATCAAGCTACATTAAAAGCCATCCAGTCTATAGTAATTACTTCAAAAAGTGCAATTGATTGACTTAACTTAGTAAAAGAATAGGTTCCAGAACATTGAAGAAACGATTTCCTAATTCTTTCTGTAGACTTACAAAAAGCCATTCGTAATCAGTAACAGTGTTGTTTAGCGTTGGTACCTGTCATGAAGCCTTACCACAGTGCTCTACAAACACATGTATCAAGATAATAGGCCGATAAACGCCCCATTGAAAATTCTAATGAATTTTTACTGGTTATGTGTTTTGGATATAACTTTCTCCTTGGTAAGGTTCGAGCCCTATAAATACCTCTGCTGATCTTTGGGTCTCAGCACTCGTTGGTGTCGAATATTGTCAGGATGAATTGGTTTATTAGTATGAGTCAACGTCAAACAAAACAATACGTCATCGCAATATATAAAATAATAAGTCTGGTACTTCCGCTAAGCAATTTACTCTTAAGAATTCTATTAGCATATTTAACAATACCTTGTAGTTTGAGATATCACTTAAATATGTTAAGTTACCTCTACAAAAGTATAGTATTGATATTTAATAATTAAAAATTTAAATTTAAATTTATTATTTATTATAAATAATTTTAATTATTCTACAGTTGGTTTATGATTTTGTGCTAATACAACACAGCATATGAATTTGTTAATGAAATATCTCAGCAAATTAATAGAAAACTCCTCACAGTGCGAACATACAAGTCAAATACGGCTTTGTGTCAGTTGGTTGATGAACGCTGACTCTGCGCTTCAAATTTGGCAGGGCACGACTTCAACACTTACTACTTACAGTCTCAAAGTGATTATTTACGAATAATTAAATACAAGAATTATTTCTAAGACCACCGATGATGGGTATTTGGCAGTATTTGAAATTCAATTAATTAAAATAGTATAAAAATAATTTTTGTTGTTGTAGTTTACTACTTTTCGAAACCCCTCTATACATTTGGTATTTGTAAAACTGATGTCTCTCTATCAATTTAGTGAAATGAAAGGCAACGGCTTATGATTTAAATAGTGCTGAAATTTAAGTTTTATTAAATTTATTTAAATACCATATCTCATATGCAATATATTTTAACAAATTTATTAATTTTTCTTATTTACATAATATTTAAATTATTACAAATATTGATACATTACATCATAACATTATGTTTAAAAACAGGTTACAGCTGATATTAAAAATATAGAAATATTGAAAAATATTTAACACTTGTTAAACTTTGCAATTAAACAAATATTTATTCATTCTTATTTGATTTATTATTTGAAATTCAAAGTCTATGCAATATGAAATTCTCATTTAATAATTAATTGATTAATAGTTTTACACATTCACTTAAAATTCTATTTGATAAGCATATAATCATTTTACTAGAATTTGAAATTAAAATCATTTAAATTGGTAAACACTTGGGGCTCTGTAGGTTTACAAATTTAAATGAATATTTCATTTCACTATTACAATATATCTTATATATATATATATATATATAAATAAATTTAATTGTTAAGATATATGCCTATGCGTTGTATAAAAACCCCCACTAACTACTAACCTACAATCTGTTTCTTACTCGTGTCCTGCGTAAATACAACTCTTATATACAATTTAGTGTACAATTATAATTTACATAAAAACTATTTATTTTGTAATAATTACATTGAAATATATCTAAAGCGTTTCAGAGCATTTTCTTATTTGTCACAATATAAATTTATAAATTTAAGTTCTTGTTTATTTCATTAATTTACAAAACATCAATTACGTACTAACTTATAAGTAAAAAGTTCAGTAAAATTAGTGATATTTAAATTATCTCAAAACAGTCGCTGTATGCAGTTAAGCTTAGTGGAAAGCATTACAATATAGAAAATATATAGAAAAAATACACCCTAAACTTCTGACTACTCCTTACCTGAAAACCCATGGACAAGCTCGTCAAATGCAGTCAAATTTCTGATATAAAAATGGTATCTAAACTCATGCTTAGGACTTACTTCGCAAATCGTTTTAAATAATTTTATATTTACAATTGTGTTTTGTATTGCATATAAGCCAGAAAGAAAAGCAGTAAAATATATAATTGATTTGGCAAAGTTGAAGTTTTGATATAAACCAGAGCAGATAAATTGAAAAAAAATTGAAAAAAATTGTAAAAATAATAAAAATTGATTTTCCTTGTAGGAAATAGGAAAATGGGGAGCAAAAGTTTGCTTGTCAGTTATTTTTATGTAAGCGAATTTTTTACATTTTTTTTATTATATAAATAATTCTTTGAGCAATTTTGCACAAATTTTACATGCTGAAAATGTATTTCGGAACTCAGTAAGCACAGCATGGAAAAGTTTTTACTGCAGGGAAAACAAAATCCTTGCGGTATAATTTCTTTGTTCAATATTTACAATGTGCCTTTCAAATGCGTAAACATGAATTTTATTTTTTATACTAAGAACAACACCAAACTTCATATCTTTATATGTACAAAATCTTAAAGTAAAGTTAATTTTCTTATATTTTCATTCATTTAATTTAATTTGAATACAGCACAGTCAATTCCAAATTTCAGTTACACACACATCCCTCCTACCTATATGCTATATACGTATACTAAGCAACTTATTAAATAATTTCATTGAAAATGTTTACAATTGTAATTACAAAATTTTAGTCGCACTCATTGGCTCAATTTGAAACTCTACCTTCAGTTGTTGGGTACTCGTACAACTGGTGGTGCCACACCTTCGTTTAGTTCCCACACCACTTCGTCGATGCTTACTGCGGTATGGCACCAACAGCACCATTTACTAGAGCACCGTTTCATTGGTATTGGTACAGGTACGTGGTCCATTAACTATAGAATACTTCGAAGAGTTATCCTTTTTGACCGCCAATCTACCCAGAAAGATCTCCTTGAACGTCTCGCGGAACTGACGTGACATACCGCAATAAATACCAAAATTAATCGGATAGCTTACAACCAAAAAGAAATTAGTGAACATAATGAAAATATTCGCAATGCGATAGTCCAGAAATTCTATAAGCAACGAGGACACAATATGCATTAGTGTTACCACAGCAATCGGTATCTCTACAATGAGAAATACGGTAACAACAACAATCAGCATCAGTGTGGTGCAATTCGATTCACGTAGCTTTTTGCATTCTTTCTTGCGGTTTTCGCGGAATAGCAATTTGCGTCGTTCCTGCGCCTGACGCATCGCTCGGAAGAGTAGTATGTTCAGCGTCACCAGTATGATGCAGGGCAAGAGATGCACAAACAGCACACGAGATGAAAAGTATAATGTAAAATATAAATCCTCGCCAACATAAATATGCACCCAATTTGATGTTTCCACATGACAGACTTCTGTATGATGGCCATTCCATTCAATCTGCAATGGATAGTATGTGCGGTCGAAAAAACGTGTGCTCTGATGCAGGAATGCACAAATCGCAATGTATAGTGTACAACGTTTTACGCGCGGCATAGTGCACCAAGTCCTAGCCATTGGAGCGTGGCAAACGTAAATGTATCTGAAAAATATAAATTGAAAAAACATAAACATAAACATAAATATACAAATTTGTGTTTTTAAGAAATATAAAATTCACGTTATATTAAGCAAATTTAATTACTGGCTATAGAGTTTTCCGTGAAATTGAATGCATAATTTAATTTTTTTTCATTGCAGTATATCAATTTCATATCAAATAATAAAAATACAGAAATAATTTCTGCTATACGTGGAGGCCAAAGATATTGGCTAACAATTTATAGCTTTAATTTGATGTTAAACAACACAAATAAGATTCACTGAAATTTTACTTCACTTAAATTCTGAAAGCTCCACTATTTTGGACTAAAACATTGAAGCGACGTTAATTATCAACTCTCAGAAGAGGCACACTCTAAAAAAACTAAACTGCAAATAAAACTCGACAGGCGCTGAGGTATTCAAAGAAATGATGGGTGGAGAAAGAAGGTCCATCCACAAAGCTATGGTGATCTGAAGGCCCATCCACCAAGCTATGGTGATCTCGTAGCACAAATAACGTCACTCTATAAACGAGCTGCTAGAGAAAAGTCAAGCCAAACCATCAATGTCAGAACCAACCATAGATGTACTCAAACTATCCAGCTGCAGCAAACAGCATGTCCATGTAAGAGGTTCTGTAGAAGAGAATAATGGAATGTCAGTAAACGTAAACAAATTATACCTGGAAGAACAGGAATAATTTGTTCTCATTATCAAATTCGATTTAAATCGATATATGAGATTATATGATTCAGCAAGGCAGCTGAAAAGCTCACATATGTTATATTCCTTGATATGTAAGATCATAGTGCTTCGATCGGTTAAAGCGTACTTTATGTACAAGAAATTTGAAATTAACATGTCAGCATATTTCTAAACAATAAAAAGAGTTGAACACCAACACCCCGTTATCGAATCTCAGAAT